AGGTGTTTGTCTACCTGCTGCTCTGGGGGCTGCTTTTTCATAGGATCTGCCTCGGTTTCTTTTTCTGTTGCTATGATAAAAATCTCACGAAAGAAATGCTTTACTCTGACTCACAGGTAAAGGTACCGCCTATCATGGTGGGACAGTCTAGGCTGAGGGAGTGTGAAGTAGCCTGTCCTGGTTTTTGTGCCAACTTGACACAAGCAAAAGTCATCTGAGAGGAGGGAACCTCAATTGAGAAAATGCCTCTGTAATATCTGGCTGTAGAGCATTATTTCAATTAGTGATTGATGGGGAGGACTCAGCCCATTGTGGGTGGTACCACCCCTGGGCAGGTGGTCCTGGGTTCTATAAGAAAGCAGACTTCGTAAGCCATGAGGAGCAAGCCAGTGAGCAGCACCCTTCCATGGCCTCCGCCTCAGCACCTGCCTCTGGGTTCCTGCCCTGCTTGAGTCCCTGTTCTGACATCCTTCGATGATGAACAGTAATCTGGAAGCATAAGCCAAACACACCCTTTCCTCCCCAAATTGCTTTCTTTGGTCATGGTGTTTCATCACAGCAATAGTAACCCTGATTAAGATGCAGCTGGCCCCATCACAGCACGATCAGGAAGCAGAGAGCAATGCAGGCTGCCTTTCTCCACTCACAGTCTAGGATTCCAGCCAGGGAATGTTCCTGCTCACAGGTAGGATGGTTTTTTCTGCATTAGTTACCATAATTAAGACAATCCCGATTAGGTGTGCCTCCAGGCTTGTCTCCTAGGTAACGCTAGATCATGTAAGTTGACAGGTAGCACTAACCATCACGGAGTCAGGATTCAGGATCATTTCTCAAACATGAACATTAACACACCTCTCAAATCACAGATGTCACTGGTTCTCAGACAGCCTCCTCCAAGAAGTAGGCATGACTGGGGATGGTCCGGCAGTCCCTTGTTCCATTACATCTTCCTCACAAAACTCAACTGTGGAGAATCACTAGAGCCCTTCCTGCCCCGGATTTTGGGAAGTGGCCCCTCCAGCTTGAGCAGAGCATGTGTCCCCCCTTCAAGGCCAGCACTCTGACTGGCTTGGCAGTTTCTCCGAAGCCCACTAATGAGGCCCTGAGTGGTGATGTTATGTAAATGCACTTCTTGCTATGCTGTGAGACAAAACGGTAAAACATATTGCTTCTGTTGGGAAGGCCTGATAGTGGTGGTTGTTGTGTCATTAATTTGTAGGAAGCACGAACAGCTAGTGGTATATTTCCTAAACAAACACAAAGCCATGGAGGAATAAAATAGCACAAAAGACCAAAGAGGGGGCCATCCAGAGAAGCACACACCTGTCTCCATATTCACAAGACCCCAGACCATGATGAAGGCCATGATGTCAGCTGGGCCTCAAAAGGGCCTCCTCAGTTTGTCTGGGTGAAGGCTGAAGAAGCCAGTATTCAGTAACGGGCCAGATCTCCTGAGAGGAAGCCGCTCCCCATTGTTCCCCTTTACATCTTAGGTATGGTTTAAGTAAAAAAAAAAAAAAAAAAAAAAAAAAAAAAAAGCCTGGCATCCACACACAATGGGAAAAGCATATCAAATTATCTTATCAAATTATATTCTACCTTTCCAATCTCACTTGTAATCAAAAGGTGGTCACAATTAAAGACAGATGGGCAAGACTTACTTTTCTGGTAGTCAGAATAACACTTCCCCAAGCCCCCATCTATACACTTGAGGCAGCAAGCAGAAGGAACAGTTTTGCAACCTTGGCATCTGCTTGGCTTGGACCATGCACATGCCCCTCCCCAGGTGATGTATTCAGCAACCTGTTAAGTGGCCTAAGAACTCCCACCCACATCGAGCTGCATTAGATGATGGAAACAAGTTACTCCCAACCCTGGTTTGGTTTCAGTTGCTTTGATGAACACTATGACCCAAAGCAGCTCAGGGAGGAAAGGGTTTGTTTGGCATATCGCATATGACCCATCATAGAGGGAAGCCAGGGCAGAGAGAAGCCATGGAGGCAGGAACCAAAGCAGAGGTTACTTAGGAATGCTGCTTACTGGCTTGCTCTCCATGGCTTGCTCAGTTACCTTCTACAGCCCAGTCCTGTCTGCCTAGGGATGGCACCACCCACAGTGGGCTCCCACATCAATCAACAATCAAGAAAGAGCCCACAGACATGGCCACAGACAAATCTGAAGGAAGCAATTTCTCAATTAAGGTTCTGTCTTCCCAGATATGTCTGAGTTTGGGTTAGGTTGACAAAACCTAACCAGTACACTCCCCTTGCTGGGTCCCTTGATAAAACCCCATTTCTACTCAATCCTGGACACAACCCAAAAACTATGGGCTGTGGGTTGGGACAGATTAGATTGGTTTTAGGTGCATGTACAGTAAGGAAAACTGTGTCCCCGAAGGACATTTTTAGGACACATTCTCTATTTAGCATCTATGCCTATGCCTAAGTGAATGTGGTTAAATCCAGATGCATTCTGGGAAGGAAGGTTTACACAATCCAGATATATTCATCATAACAGAGACCAGCCTTCACTATGCTCCCTGCAGCCAAACCTCGTCTTCTCTGAAACCCACCCAATAAAGAAAGCCCTGAACGATAGCCACTCCTGGGCCACTGTCAATCAACAGATGCTTCTGAGCTGCACTATTGCTTTGCTTAAGTGAAGTTTCCTTTCTACTTTTGCACATCCCTATGAATCATTATTTCAGTCTTTGGAATAAGAAATCAAGAATAGCCAGGTGTGGTGCACATCTTTCACCCCAGCATTCAGTAGGCAGACCCAGGCAGAGCTGTGTGGGTTCAAGCCAGCCTGGTCTACATATTGATTATGCCTATATAGAGAAGCAGAAAAGACAGACGGAGTGAGATACAGATATGCCACACTGCTTGACTTCAAAAAGGGAAGAGAGCCCCACAGTGAGGAATACAGAAAGCCTCTTGGAGCTGGGAGAAGAAGGCAGGTGTACAGTCATGCCCATGGCCTGGGCAACACTTTGGTTCAGGATTTCTGGCCTCCGTAATAAAATAAACTTGTGTTGTCTTGAACCACAAGGTCTGTTCCATCAGCAACAGCAGACAAACATGCTGGTGGCAACCAGAGGTGGTAAAGAGATGGAGGAAGCAGGCACACAGGGACACAGGTGTGCATACACGGACAGCATTCCATATGGCATTGCTAATGGGCATGACTTTTGATCCAATCTCTCAATAGATTATTGGGTATGATGTCAACCTTATATACATGAGAAAACATACTTCATAAAATGGCCCAATGGATATAAGCTTGGAAACTACTCAAATGTTTACTTTTTTGTAATTTCATACTGGGGGAGGGGAACATGTGGACATTACAAGAAGGGTCAAAGGGTTCCTGTACATCCCTTGGGAAATCCATGAAAGTTTGCTCTGTCCTTTGGCTTGGTCACTGTCTTTAGCTGTGATTCTTACATGTATGCTGGTGGGGAACTAGTTTTTCACATAGTCAAACACAGCACAGCACAGGGCAGAAGCCAAGGCCACCCAGCTACATGTTTTGGTATCCTGTTTGTTCATGCAGTGCATAAATCTGCAGTGTGGAACCTGGCACTGTGTAGGGCAGGAGCAGGACGTGGACACACATCAGGTGCCATTGTGCTTGCTTCTACTGTTTATTATTGTTGTTGTTATTGTTATTATTATCTTTTTGAGGCAGGGTCCCACACAGCCCAGGCTGGCCTTAAACTCATTACGTAGCTGACAGTAATCTTCAACTCCCAAGTGCTGGGATTTCGGGTGTGCCTCACCATGCCCAGTTTATGGTGCTGTGGATCCAACCCAGGGCTTCATGTGTGCCTGGCAGGCACTCTACCTACTTGGGCTGCATCCCAGTGCAGCTGTCCCTCTCTCCACCTCCTGGGCCCTGTGGATGGATGGTCCAGGCAATGATCATGACAATTTCTCTCTCCATCTCACTGCCAAGATGCTTGGACCTTTGAGAACACAGGAGTTTCTTGGGGTCTCACGACCAGCTGGTTGGTGCAGTACTGGGATCCAAACCAGGCCAGAAAGCATTGCAGTGCACACTGGCTCTCACACTGCCCAGCTGTCCTGCTTCAGGAAGGTGCCCTTTGGAGAGTTAGATCCAGGGATGCTTTCAGACTGTAGGTGACACAGGGGACCTGGAAAGACTATCTGATACTGCTTCCCTAACAAGTCCTCCTCTGGTCCATCCGTGAAAAGTGAACCTTCTAGACAGGAAGAAATGGAATGCTCTAAGCCACCAGAGGCAAGCCACCATATCTATGACTTACCTGGCATGGGACCAGATATGGATGCCACTTGGTCTTCCCTAAATAAACAAGCCACAATTGTTGTAGAATAGAATATTTGTTTAACTGTGTAAAGATGTGTTTCATTTGTTTGTGTTGTAGAATCATTGTTTAACTATGTAAAGATGTGTCACTTTTGTTTATGCTGCAATTGTTTCACTATGTAAAGATGCATTGCTGTTTTACCTTGCCGTCTAAGGTACCTGATTGGCCTAATAAAAAGCTAAACATCCAATAACAAGGCAGAAGAGGGATAGACAGAGGTGGTGGGCAGAGAGAAAAGGGGAGCTGGCTAGCCAGCCTGGGGAGCCAGCCTACTGGAGGCTAGACAGACAGTCAGACAGACAGGCAGATACACATGGAGGAAGCAGGAAAGCAGGATGGATGAGGCTTGGGGAGGCACATAGATTAACAGAAATGGGTTAATTTAAGTTAAAAGAAAAAGAAAAGAAAAGAAAAAATAGCTAGCTAAAAACAAGCCTAAACTAAGGCTGAGCATTCATAATTAATAATGAATCTCCATGTCATGACTGGGAGGGGGGGCTACGGTCCAGGAAAGCCTGCTACACACAACTACAGCATGTCTGCATCCCCAAATGCTTAGCCCTCTTTCCCCTACCTGTGCCCACAGGTGGACAGAGCACCTGCCCTGGATCCACTAGGCTGAGGCAGTTAGTGCAAAGTGTGGCCTTACCTGTCATCCTCTTTTCAAAGAACGGCTGGATGAGCTCCCCGAAGCTTGACTTGGCTGCCACAGCTTCCTTCAGCAGCTGCCCGCAGCAGACTGAGGGGAGAGGAGCGGAGACACTGTTAAATTTTAAATAGAAGGAAGGATGGGAAAAAAGGCACTCCAGCTCACACTGCCTGCTGAGGCGGGAAAGGTCACTGAAAAAAATATAAAAGGGTGTGGGGTGTCCAAAAGGAAGCAAATATCAAAAAGGAAGTTGGAAGTGAAGAGAGAGGGAGAAGGAGAATGAAAAGGAATGCATTTGCCAAAGAACATTAAAAATGGACCACGCGGGAAGGCACTAACGAGGCTGTCACTGACAGGGAGGCTCCTGCAGAGAGGGCCCTGGCTATACCCGGAATTGCCAAGCAGACTCGGCGCTCTCTGGGTGGCAGTGGAGGAATAGCATGCAGTTGGGGACATGTTGTGTTCACGTTCACAGTGTTTGATGGAGGAGGTCAGGATCATGGCGGTACCCCAGCCATTCCATTCGGCAAGGTGCTTGAGAGGGATGGTGGGTTCATGAAAGGACCAAGGGAAACCCCAAAGACATGAAGCCATAGCTGCAGGCTGCTGGAGCCACCTGGTGGCTGCAATCTTTTTATTCCCCTTGCCTGCGTGCCCACGGCAGCAGGGCCTTTCCTGCCTTACCCCACTGTGTCTTCAGCCTCAGCCATGGACAGCACATGGAAGAGGTCAGTCAGTGACAATTTAACAAAAGCCAAAGCCAAAACCAAAAATCTATACGCTTCCATCTCTCTCCAAAGCCAGAGTTGTTTTTTAATGATGGGGATACCTATGTGTCTGCACACATGTGTGCAGAAGCCTGCTTAGGCCAGGAGAGGCATGAGATGCCCCGGAACCAGAGTTACAGGCAGTTGTGAGCCACCTGACATGGGTACTGGATACCAAACACTGATCCTCTGGAAGACTCGAACATTCTCCTAGCCCCTGCGCATTTCCTCAGTGTGTGTGTGTGTGTGTGTGTGTGTGTGTGTGTGTAGAAGTCAGAAGATGGAATCAGGTGTCCTCTGTCACTCTGCCTATTCCTTTGAATCAGGGTCTCTCTCTGAACCTGGGGGTCTCCATATCTTGGCTAGGCTAGAAGTCAACAAACCCCAGAGATCTTCCTGTCTCTGCCCCTCTTGGAGCTGGTGTCACATGCATGCATGGGACACCTGGCCTGTTATGTGGGTGGGTGGGATCCAACCTCCCCTCCTCATGGTCGTGTGGCATTTAACCACTGAGTCATCTTTCCAGCCCCAGCCAGAAGGCTTAAAAGCTGTTTTGGGTTGTTAGTTGTACAATCTTGGCTTTATAACCTTCAGTTAGGGATCTTCTTGCCCATTATAAAGAACCAAAATAAACCTAGAATGATCTGCATAGCAAAGACCAGCTACCATAGACTTAGTCCCTGATAATATGCATACTGCAGTGTAGCTTGAGTAGTGGGCAGTTTCCCCAGCTGAGGAAAACCCAGACACAGACTGGTGTGAGACAGCCTGTCTGTGAAGCGCTGTGCCACTTCCTTTGATTATTCATCCCTAACAATCATCAAGTGCCCTTTTATAAGGAAACTGAGACCCAAAGGCTATAACCCAGGTCACAGAGCTGGTAATCAGCAGGGTTGGAACCAAAATGCACACTACTGAATCCATTCTCAGCCTCCGATTCTGGCTGGGGAGGGACAGTGGGTAGCATTGAGTTCCCTCATAGAAATCCAGGGAACCAAAGAAAGACCAGAAACCATGCTTGGCAGCTACAGTAACAGGCAGCCCTGGGCTGCAATCTTTGCCACCTGGATTTCTTGTGTGTGTGTGTGTGTGTGTGTGTGTGTGTGTGTGTGTACATGCACAAGCATGCAAGTGTCTTAGCATATGTGTGAAAGTCAAAAGAAAGCTTTCAGGAGGCAGTTTTCCTCAGACAATCTGGGACTGGAACTCAGGCTATGAGGCCTGTGTGCCAGTGGTTATCCTCTGAGCCATCCTGGGGCCCCAAACTGAAAATTCCTTTTTCTTTTTTCTTCTTTCTTTCTTCTTTCTTTCTTCCTTCCTTTCTTTCTTTCTTTCTTTCTTTCTTGTTTGTTTGTTTTGTTTTGTTTTTTTGAGATAAGGTATCTTTGTGTAGCTTTGGAGCCAATCCTGGAACTCATTCTGTAAACCAGGATAGCCTGGAACTCACAGAGATCTGCCTCCTAAATGCTAGGATTAAAGGCCTACACCACCAATGCCCAGCTAAACTTAAAACTCTTAATGCAGAAGCACAAAATCTACTCTCAACACAAGCACCAAAGTGTCCAAGTATGAAAATGAAAATTACTGAAAAAATTAGAAAAAATGCAAACATTTGCAAGGAAAGAAATGGACCTTAGAATCAGATCAGTAGACAATAGACTGTCAGAATTAGCACAGCAAGGGTGCAGGGCAGTGTCACAGAGAGACAGCACTTTCAACCTTAAAGGAAAAGATTAAAATAAGTAAACAGATGGGGACCAGCTGAGAAATGGAAACCAGAGAAACAGGACCAGATGGGAATCCTAGAACTGGACAATACAATCTGGTAAATGAGAAACATGGCTGTGTCCAGTGGGTCTAAAGGCAAGAGAAGAGGAATGGAAGAATCTAAAACAGAACAGGGCAGGGCATAGGACAGGGCTTCAACGGGCAGGCTGACACACAGGTCACTAGAGTCCCAGCAGATGGGGAGAGGAGCGAAGAGACACAGGACACCCAGAAAGCAACCAGAGATGACAGAATTCCAGATTCTGGTGACAGGTACAACATCCAAGAATCTGTGTGTGTCCCAGGAAGAATAAACCAGCTGGGCGGTGGTGGCACACATCTTTAATCCCAGCACCTGGGAGTCAGAGGCAGGCAGATCTCTGTGAGTTCAAGACCAGCCTGGTCTACAGAGTGAGTTCCAGGACAGCCAGGGCTACACAGAGAAATCTTGTCTTGGGGTGGGGGGAGCAATACCAAAACAACAACAACAACAACAACAACAACAACAACAACAAAAACCCATAAAGCAAAGCCATTCCTCTATGCAACTATACTCAGGTTGCTAAAAGCCAACGAGAAAGAGAAAATACTAAAAGCAGCCAGAGGGGGAGAGGAAACACTTATATAGGCAGGGTGACAGGACACAAAAATAATCTGAGTTCTCATCAGAACCCGCAGGCCAGAAGACAGTGGAACGACACCTTCAAAGTGGGGGGGGGGGGAGACACACAACCAGTCTGTGAACATAGGTTTCTATATGTAACAAGCATTCTTCAGAAACGAAGGCAAGAAAATGAAATTTTCAGACATATGAAAGGACAGGGGATTTGTCATTGGCAGATGTTAAGGGAAAGAAATGTTAAAGGAAATTCTTCCGGCTGAGAGGAAACAGAGAGAGGCGGAAACCTACATCTTCCCAAGAACTGAGCCTGGAGATGTGTGGGTAATGGCACGGTTGTCTCTCCAGCTCATCCCCCATGTCTTAAAAGACAAGTCTTACAAGGAGCACATTTATTCAAAAGGTGACCCTGGTTGAAGTCTATCTCTGGATATATTTGCACGTGTGCTATTTGGGGGAGTGTACATGCATATTTATGTATTTGGTTGGGGAAAGTCGTTTTTCCCAGAGGTTAGGTGGGCTGTGGCACGTGGGGGTGGGGAGCAACACCTTTAAATGTCCCCAGTACCACACTGATCCCACCAACGCAAGCCAGCAGCCAAGGCCGCCTGGGACCATACCAGCAAAGACTTGGAAAACTGATTTCAATATTTTTCTCTCTGCTTGGTAAAATATTTATTGAAACTGTGCAGAGCACGGCATCTCCCTCTGGTGCAGGAAGTGTTGCCTGTGGTCACACTGACCTGGGATGGGGGAGCTGAGCCAGGCCATGAAGAAAGCAGCAGGGCCCGGTGAGGAGCTGCTTAAAAGCCCCCAGAGGATCGGGGAGAGTGCCCCAGAGGAAGTGAAGATGGGTGGCCAGAAAATGTCCCAGCCTTTGGGCTGTGGACACGTTTTATTGGTTAGTGTCTGTATGGAGATGCCCTTTAAAGGGAAACGTTTTTATCCCTACAGGGGTGAGCTAAGTGGGAAGGATTAAGAAGCAAGAGTAGGAAAGAGAATGGTTACTGTTCTTCCCCATCAGCCATTACAAAGCCTGGGCAGGTAAGAGGCAGGAAGCCACACTTCTGGTGAGATACTCACCGTCAACAAGGCCATATCTCTGGGCCAGAAGGGCTGCCTGCAAGCTCTTCCCAGAGCCCATTGCCCCACATAGCAGCACCTTGGGGGTGAATGGGGCATTGCATCGGTGGCCAGTTTGAACGTAGGTCAGAGCTGGAATAAGAGCACATGAGAATATCAGATCCAAGTCCTATGAGAAAAGGAGCCCGCTCACACCCCTGCATGGGCTCTGCCTGCTTGCAGCACAGTGGGAGCCTTCCACAACCTGACATTCAGACCATCAAGGAAGGAATCATGGAGGAAGAACTGCACATCTTTTTGCACCGAGGTGCACAGGGAGTGGTGCTGTTTCTAACCACTGTCTTGGAATTGCTCCATAGCGTGCTGCAGGCAGCTGCATTTGCCCCCAATTCGAATTGGGGCTGAGTGTGTTGGGCAGGAGGCTGGCCCTAGACATGAAAGCATCTCTCATTGACTGTCTGCTCAGTTAGGTGGTTTCCAGTCTTCATCTGTCCCAGCCTCTAACCTGAAGCCCCAGGACCAGGCTGGTGTCCTAGGGGAGATGTGCACCCTGTATCACACACAGGCTTTGATAAGAGGTCGGGCTCAGAAGGGGCCTGGTGTGCAGGGACTTCTAAAGGACTCGGGAACCGGTGGAGAATAATTTGGAGAATAATTTGTGCAGCCTCACTCCAGGGATACTAACTTTGTTGCAAGACTCCAAAAAGGCAGTAATGAAATAGGTCACAAGAGTGGCCGACTCTGCCATGGTCTCCTGACCTGTGCTGTTCCTCTGGCATTTGATGAAGAGAGAGGTGGGAAGATAGGGGTGAACATCTTCAACAATGAAGAGTCTTCACCATGGGAAGGCACAGGGTGCCAGAAAGTTCAGCGGGGAGGGAGGAGGTACTTCACATCAAGCAGGTCCCTTCCTGTGCCCACCCAGAAGAGGGGGGCTGTGAGAATAAGTGGGAGGGGATGGAGGCAGGGGCGGTTGCTGCCAGGGAGCTGCCTGCTGGGACCTACATAGGACAGCTGGCCACCAAAGAGGCTGCAGAGTTGGGCCATTCCCTCACAGCTTCACCTCCTGCCAAGGCCCCCAGACTGTCCTGTGCAAGGCCAGCTGTTAGTGGCACCTGCCAGTCTTTGTCAAGCAGATCCCATCCTGAAGAAGGGCTGGGCCAACATGGCTCTTTTAGGAAGACATCTATCTTATGGGGGGATTTGTAGATGTGTCTATTATAGGATTTTCCAATCTTGGCTTGAGGAGTGTTGGAAGGTCATCCTGGACTCTATCTACTAAGTGCCAGTAACACAACCAATAAATGTATTCAGACATAATCTGAACCTCCCCTGGAGGGTGGACAGTATGGTGAAGCAAAAAGTAATCCAACTGAGAACCAGTAATATTTGTTCATTATACAGACTTTGAAATCTTTTGGGGGTGTTGCCTGATTGGTCCATGTAAGGGTATGCATGTGTATGTTTATGTGGGGGGGGTTGCATGTGCACATGTAAGCTCTTATATATGTGGCCTTGAGGTCAATGTTGGTTGTTTACCTTAGTCACTGTCTACCTCATATTTTTTGAGGCAGGGTCTCTTATTGGACCTGGAGTTTACCCCATAACTAGGACTGTAGGCCTGTGCCATTAGCCATTAGGCTAGCCTTTAGGTTTTTTTTTTTTTAATTGAATTTATGTGTCTGTGTACATGCACATGCCACAGTGCATGTGAGATCATCAAAGGACAATGTTAGGGAGTCAGTTGTCTCTCTCCACTGTGTGAGTCCTGGGGATTGAACTTGTGTTGTCAGCCATGGTATACGTGAATCATCTCACTACCTGTGTTCTAAACTCGGGTCCTCATGCCTGCACAAGCACTCTACTGGCTGAGCTGTCTCCCCTGCCCTGAACTCTGGCATCATTACAGGATTGTCTCACTGGGTCATGAGGGTTTACAGTTCCCTCTTTTCAGAACTAGCAGCACAGGTAAGTTAGAGGTGACCGCCGCCAAGGCTGTGGTCACCACCATGGTGGGCACGTGTGAAATGCTAAGGTAAATATTCATTTATTTGGCTTGCCATTTCATGAGGGAGCTACCATTCTTGTCTTGTTGTACAGATAGTCAATGCTGTCTGGAGTCTTGGTAGAGTCATGGCAACTCTCTCAAAGCTACAGCTGGGGTACCATTTCTCCTCTAGAACAGCCCAAGACAGGAGACCCTCCCATGGCTCTCAACTCTCAGACCCTCTGTAACCCAGAACCTCTGAAAAGCACAGACACTACAGCAAAGCAGCCTGCTTACAAATGATGCTTAATTTACAGTAAATAAATAAGTTAATTAGGAGTAACGATCCCCCAGACAGTCTCCACATCCAGTTATTCTTTTTGGAAATAGACAGCTTCTGGGTGCACTGAGATTTAAAAAAACAACAACACAGAGGGAATCTGGCAACCCAATTTTCAATTTATCATTCCACATTATTAATTAATAATAATTAATATTTAGATGCTCACGTTTTTATTTACAATTCCAGGCATGAATTCTTTATGAATGATCATATGAACTTTTAAATTTAATTAAGTAATTTAGGAGTAATTAATGTGTAAACTTGGAACCGAGGCACAAGATAAGTGTGGTAGATGTTTATCTTAAGAGCACGTGTTTGCTACTAAAGATCTTTTCAAGATGCAGAGCTCTGGAAAATTCAAGGCAGTCTCAACCTGACATGGCAAGCAGCACCACCTTCCAGATGCCTGCCCATGGGTGCTGGCGGCCAGCAGAGGGCCGGGTGTTCCTAAGAGTATGCAGAGAGGCCCCGGCTGGAAGGCTGCAGAGGGTTGACACAGAAGTATCTGAAATTCACACCCAATCAAAATGACACTTTTCTTTTTGATATGTGTACATGCATGTACATGTGTGTGTTTGCTTGAACACGGTGAGCATGAACATCTGTGCACATTTGTGAAGAAGTCAGAGGACAATCTTAGGAGCTATCTGACTTGTTTTTTGAAATGAAATCTCACTGGTCTGGAGCCCACCCTCCCTGCACTGGGATTACAAGCATATACTGTCACCCCTGGCTTTTTTACATGGGCGCTGGAGATGAAACCTAGACCCTTATGCCCGCAGAACAAATACTGCCTATTCCCCTTTTTATGATAGGGTCTCGTGTAGTTGACCTCAAATTTGCTCTGCAGCTGAAGATGACTTTGCACTTCGGGTAGTCCTGACTCCGAGTGCAGGGACTGCCGTGGGCACACTGGGCAAGTGCTCTACCAGGGAAGCCACTAGCCCTGTGAGCTTTTTCAAATTCAAAGTTTTGCAGCAGGATCACCCTATACTTCCCAGGCTGGCCACAAATTGTTTATCTTCCTGCCTCAGCATCCTAAAAACTGGCTTTACAGAGATGTCCTGCCATACTTGGCTTAAAACGATTTCTTTGTCTTTTCTTTTTTAAACACATGGACTCATTCAGTTCAGGGTGGCCTCAAAAATCCCTGTGTAACAGAGATGTCCTGAACTTCTGCTCCTCTCATCTGCATCTTCTGAGGGCTGGGATTACAGGCATAGCCACCATGCTAGGTTTTATGTGGAAGCCAGCACTTCAAGCACCCTGACAACCCAGCTACATCTACATCATCATCTGAATTGTTTTCCCTTGAAAAGATTTGAAAGAGCCTATGAGAAAGGGGCCATCAAAGGTTTCAAATGGGTGCTGTCATTTTATTGTGTCCAAATACTTTAAATGTCTTTTCACCCTGTTATCAGATGGGAAGAGTGGATTCTGAGACATCAAAACTTAAATATTTCTTTAGTATTTATAAATAGCCCATTTCTGCAAGGCCTATCACTATCTTTGAGTGCCTATCACTTATGTGAACATCTATGCAGTGGTGGTAGACAGCGGGCTGCTTACCCCAGCTTGTGGAGCACCTTGCATGCTTCATATTTATAATGAAAATGTTTGTTTTTGCCTTAATCTTTATATATTTTATCTGTCTTCTCCTTCAAGATCAGGCCTCAAGACTTTTGTATCATTATGTTCCTCCTGTTCTTTATCCCACACACAGTCAAACCCTCTGTGGCTGAGGACAGTTACACCCAGGGGTCCCTGAATGGCCAATCAGTGACTTGACGCTCAGGTTCCTCACACATCCCAGCTACTGCTGCAGCCAGTCTGAGGGATAGTGGGATGAGCAGGGCGATCAGGTGATCAGAGTGACCCCAGCCCTTGTGTGGTTAGACATGGGGCAGCCTGACATATTTACCTTGGTAGAAGACGTCCACACATGGCTGGTCTGCACTGATGTTTTTCAGGATTTTCGGGTACGAAGGAAGAATTCGGATGATGTTTCTGTGATATTCTAGCAGCTTCTTTGCTGTCTCTATCTCTGAGATGCCCTCTGGCTCTATCAGCCGGTTCTGTATGTCAGGCTCAGGGGGCCAGTCAAAGGTGGTGTGATAGATCTCTGCACAGGAAGAGGCACATCGTTAGAGCACCCACCCAACGTTGCTGCAGGCCCTGCTGCCCTGCCTGTCTTATTGCCCGTGGATATGGCTGACCATTCCCAGCCAGCAAGTGCTCTTACATGCAACAACAATGCACATTTAACAAATAAAAAGACAATGATGGGGTTGCGGATAGATGTAGCTTAATTGGTAGAGTGCTTGCCTCAAATGTACAAAGCCCTAGGTTCAATTCCCAGCACCTCATATAGCAAGTGTGGTGGTTTGTGACATTTGCACACTTAGTGGTGTCATGACAATTCTTTCAAACCTATAACTAGCATGCCATTCTTCCTCCAGGACATCCCAAAGCTGGGGACCCTCAAGTGGCTCTCTATGCTTAGGCCTTCTCTAATGAGGGCAGGAAGATCAGACGTTCAAGGTCATCTTTGCCTACATAGCAAGACAAGGCCGACCTAGACTATATGATAGCTCATCTCAAGGAAAAGCCCAGGACTAAGGGCAGCTACAGACCCCTTAGCACTGACTTTGTACTGTACCCTGAGAAGGGCCTACAGACTCACTTCATCCTCAGAGCAATTTGAGGATAAATTTACCCCAAATCCAGAGAAAACCAAACTCAAGAGAGGTAGGTTCCTTCCCCTTGTTCCTAGCCCCAACAATGTGACAATTTAAGGTCCCGTTTGTGACACAGGCCAATTTTCTCAGGAACCTTGCAAGCCTTACTCCTCCTCACTTGGAGCAAACTGTGTGGGGCATATAATTTCCTAGCAGGCGGGACACAAGTTCCCTGAACCATGTCCCTGGTGCATGGCCCTGAGCCTTGAGGCGAGCTCTTCAGCACTCTGACTCCTGGACACAGTCAACCCAGAGAGCCGGGTTCCCAGAAAATAAGACTCTGCCTTTCACCCGAGATGCCCCTCCTCCCTCACCTGCTGGGATTTCTGTGTGGCCCCTTGGGATGCCTAGAGCAGAGAGGGGGATGGAGCATCACCTCACTCTTACTGAATCCCTTGGGGAGGAGTGGGGGCATCATACCTCCAGTGACAGGGTCGATTCGCTTCCCCACATTTCTCTCAATCAGGACTGTGTCCGGAGCATTAAGTACAACTAGGCAGAGAAGAAAGGAACAAATCAGGTGTGCAAGGCTCAGGTGCCACACATCTGAACGTCAGGACCTCTGCTGTCACCCACCTCCCAGATGGCATTAAACCATTCTGAAGACAGTCCATGGTGGAACATGTCCCTGACCATCAATTTTCACTGTGGAAAATCACCATGTAGACATCTTTGTGATTTGACCCTGCCACCCTTCCGTTGGTTTCCTAGAGAGGTCCACAACATGGGGATTCCCTGCTTTCCTAAATGACAAGTCCTCAAACTTTTAGCTTTGTGGTTGGAGCTAGATTTCATCTAATGTGAAATGCTGGATCCCAAGCCCTTAAAACCCTCCCATGGGCAGTGACTGGGTCCATGGTAGTGGATGGGAGGGAGCCAGTGTTAAAGAGCAGGGTTCACATTGCATGCTCTGAGCAACTGGAGCCCGGGGTCTACTCACTGACATGCTTGGGTGCCAGCCCCACAGTCTGGATCATCAGTGCCTGCTCCCGTCTCTCAGGGATGCCATCTAGGATCCAGCCCTAAAGAGAGTATGGATGGGGTTCATTACTAATTTTTACATACATTTATTTATTTTGTGTATACATGTGTGAATGGGTAGGTAGGCATGTATGTGTGTTCTTGTAGGTGTGTACTTGCCATAGTACACATGTGGAGGTCAGAAGGCAATTTTCAAGAGTTAGTTCTCTCCTTTTACCATGTGGGTCATGGGGACTGAACTCAAGTCATCAATGTTGACCGAAACACACACCTTTATCCAGTAAGTTCCCCCTCCCTAGTTTAGATTATATTTTAGAAAGTCTAAAGAGAGCTGAAACCTTTAAAACAAAAGAAGCATGCCTGACAACCGCAGTACTCATTGCAGCTGGCAGCTGCTCACTCATCTTTAGAGCCAGTGCTTATGAACACGATCACAGCAGGCAGGTGACTTCAGGGCTTCCCACAACTGCCACAGTTACCATAGGCATGCTTCCACACCAGCATCCTTCACTGCCTCTGATTTTGAAGGTTTATACCACACCCCCTAAGTGATTGAGCCATGGTGTCAGCTCCACCCACAGCTTCAGGAGTCTGGGATCAGCTGTGATGACTATTCTGGACTGTCAACCTGACTACATCTGGAATTAACTAAAATCCAGAGATGGAGGGCCACAACTGGGAGGGACTGTTGCTTAATTTGAAGTAGGAAGATCCACTTCTAATCCAGATCTTTGAGGTAGAAAGACACATCTTCTGCTGGAAGCCTACATAAAGACATGGAGGAAGTAAAGCCTCTCTCTCTTTGCCTGCTTGCTCTTGACCTTGTTAGGAAGTCCATTCCTTGACTGGCATCAGAGCCTTCTTCAGGATTCTAGTGTCTGCTGAAGACCAGCTGAGACACCCAGCCTCAAAGACTGAACAACTACTGGATTTTTGGATCTTCAATTCAAAGGCAGCCTTTGTTGGATTAGCTGGACCACAGTTTCCAAGTCATTCTGCTAAATCTCCTTTCTATATATAGAGAAAAACTTACTTTGTCATCATAAATAACAGTGTGGTGAACATCTTTGGGTGCACAGCTTTCATGTGTTGAGTTCTTTCTGAGATACAGGATTGCTAAGACAGGAGGTCCCTAGGATCAAAGCCAAGCATGACAGTGCACACTTGTGATCCTAGCCCCGGAGAGGTGGAAGCAGGGGCACCCCTAGGACCAGCTGGCCAAACAGCCTAGACAGCGAGAGACCTTGCCTCATGAAGCAAGGTAGACGGCTATTCCAGAGGAAGAACACCTGAGGTCCTCCTTACACACTTATACATACACATGTGCATCTGCACACATGAACACACACACACACACTATACATACGTATGTATGTATGTATATATATACATGGCTTTGTTATAGTGCCTTACAGGTTGTGGTCCAGCTAATCCAACAATAGCTGCCTATGAATGAAAAGTTCAAGAATCCAGTATTGTTCAGCCCATGAGGCTGGATGTCTCAGCTGGTCTTCAGTATACACCAGAATCCCAAAGAAGTAGACTTGCCAGGGAGAGCGAGGGCAAGCAGGCAGAGCGAGCGGGCTTCCTTCTTCCATGTCTTTATATAGGCTGCCAGCAGAAGGTGTGGCCCAGATGAAAGATTAATTTTTCCACCTCAGATGATCTGGATTAAGAGTGGGTTTTCCTTTGATTCCAGCACTCCAGAGGGATCTCTGTGAGTTTGCAGCCATCCTGGTTTATATAGGGAGTTCTAGGACAGTCAGGGCTACATAGTAAGACTGTCTCAAAAAAAAGGGGGGGTCTTCCCATGTCAATGGTTTATACAAATGGTTTAAACAAAATCTCTCACAGATATACCTAGCCACTTGGGTTTTAGTTAATTCTAGATGTAGTCACATTGACAACCAAGAATAGCTATCATGCACACATGAGAAAAGATATCACCCAGATCAAACCCAAACTCCACTTTTCTTACCACACACTGAGCACAGTCCAGTTTAACCTGTTCTTTAACATGGCAGAAGCATTTTGTGCATATCCCCTGTGTTCTAGGACCCTTTGCTAGAAATGTCCATAGCTGCCTGAGTTCAGATGGCCAACACTCATGAGTGCATTAAGTGTGGTATTTTTGCTCATCCCAGGGCTTCACAATTATCCTTGAAATGCTGGGGTTGGTGAGAGGGCTTAGTACAGGAAAACAGGAAAGGTGCTTGCCACTAAGCCTGGTAAACCAAGTTCGATCCCAGGAACACATGTGAAGGTAGAATAAGAGAACTTATTCCACAAAGTTCTCCTCTGAGTTCCACAGCACACCATGGCACACACACCATAATAAACATTTTTCTTAAAAAAAAAAAAAATAAAAGCAACCTAGAATGTTGTACATTTATGTTTTTAAATTTTTGTCTGAAAGACTGTTATTGTATGTATGTGTCTGAGTGTGTGCTATGTCTGTGTGGATGCCAGAAAGAGGCTTCAGATTCCCTGGAGCTGAAGTTAGAGGCAGGGGTGAACCATCTGATGTGGGTGCTGAGAACCACACTCAGGCCTTCAAAAAGAGCTGCAACACCCTTAACTGATGGGCCACCTCCTCCCCATCACACCGCAGTTTATAAGTCTGATGGCAGAGCACCTGCCTCCCTTCCCTGCATGGTTACCAATGCTGGACACTACCCTAGGGAAAACCTGCCCAGCAAAATATAATACACCCCTGGACTACTTTAACTCACATGTTAAGAAGTGAACCCATTTTGGTAAACACTACCACAACCATTTGAGGCAGAGACTGTCACCACAATTTTCTGGGTTGGCCTGTGGCTGTCAAGTGTTACAGTGTTACAGTGTTGTTTTTAACATGCTGGGGGTTTTTGTTTTTGTTTTTGTTTTTTGTAAGCTGGTGTCTGCGTGCCTGCTTTGGTCTCTGGTGTTTGTGGGTGCATACAAAGGCCCTTTCTACCACAAAAGGAGGTAAATATTCCCTCATATTTAAAATGTGTTCTCTCATGTGTTTAGTTAATATTTAATAGAACCATGTTTTCTTTTGCGAACACTTGGAGCTAAGATCTAACTTGCTGCTTCGAGGCTCCCAGCTGTCCCAACCTTGGAACAGCACCTCCCTGGCTGACACTCCTCTTCTCGAGCTGTAATGGCTGGCATGAACTTCCCCGTCACCTCTTCCTGCCTGTAGACTGCTATTTCCTTTAACCTTTAAAGTTATCACAATTTTATAACTTATCACTTTATATTTCACAGAATGCAATTTCTCTTCTTTGTCAAAACTGTGTTCTTTCAGGTGAGCATCAAAACCTTTTTGATGTTTTGAGACAGGAGCGCTGAGTATTTTGGAACAACACTGAATGTGTAGGTTAATTCATGAGTAGTTGATGTTCTATGGCAGAAGTCAATGGCTCCTCCTCCTATTTGTTTTCTTATGTCCCTCAGCAATCTTTGCATTTAACAGTCACTAGAATCTTTCTTTTCAAGTACACACACACACACACACACACACACACACACACACACACATGCATACACAAATATATACAAACACACACATACACACATATTCACACACAAACACACATATATACAGAAACATATATACACACATGCACATATATACATACACACAAATATATACACACATCAACACACATAAACACACAATACACACACATATACACATATGCATGAACATACATACATACACAAATTCACACATAGACACACACACGGGCAGATGCACAGACACACACATATACATACTATATCTTTAGATTGGAAACTCAGAGAAAGCAATCAAGTGAACTTTTGTAAGAGTAAAAGCAAACAAGCAAATGGCTTCAAGTCCACTTCAGAGTGGAGAGAGACCCTTGTCCAGTCATCCTGAGTATTCAGTGTCTCTGTGGTCAGAGGACAGACTGATGGGGTGAGCCCATACTTCCAGCTCTACTACAAGATGGACAGCTGGTCCTAGCAAAGGCATTTTCCCTTAGACTCAAAAATGCAGAGGCTGGGCAGATGGCTCAGTGGGTAACATTTCTGCACAAACATGGGTGCCCACGTTTATATTCCCCAGGATACATATAAAAAGTCAGGCGTGGTGGTGTATCCTAAAATCTCAGCTCTGGGAAACCAGAGAATCTCAGGGGCTTGCCGGTCAGACAGTCTAACTGAAACAAGCTCCAGGTTCAGTGAGACTGTCTCAAAAAAATAAGGTGGAGCCAGGCAAGGTGGCACACACCTTCAGTCCCAGCACTCAGGAGGCAGAGGCAGAGGCAGATGGATCTCTGAGTTCAAGGCCAGCCTGGCTACAGAGTGAGTTCCAGGACAGCCAGGGCCACACAGAGAAACCCTGTGTCAAAAACAAACAAATCAACAAGACTGAGAGAAATAAAAGATGGCATGAGATATTGACCTCTGGCCTACACACACACACACACACACACACACACACAAACACACATGCACACATGCGTACTATCATGCCCACATTTCTTCACTATTGAGTTATTCAAGTGCCAATAACATCCACTGATGGTTTCATAAAAAGCTAAACAAATTTACATCCTAAAGCACGTTGAAAAAAAAAAAACAGGCAAGCTTTCATTAATGCTTTAGGCAGGAAGACACTGCCACAGAGCCTTGGCTTGCCTAACTAATGAAGCAAAAGTGAGGAAAAAATTAACTGCATTGGATCCCTCAAGTACTCCTTATAGGCAACAAAGTGCTGGGCTGCAGACAAAGAGGAAGAGGAACTCCTGCAGATGTGAGCATCTGGGGGCAGGGCTGCAGCCTGATCCCTTCCTTTCAGATCTGGTGTCCTTGGGAACTTCAGAGAAATTCTTACACACACACACACACACACACACACACACACACACACACACACACACACACGGGGTTGGTGGGGGACTGTCACTGCTTTCTCTAGCACAAGAGTGGGTCATTTAGTTTTGACCCCCAATTGTTTTAAAGAAAGGTTTTTGGTATGCAGACTAAGCAGGCCTTATGCCTGCTATAGCAATCCTCCTGCCTC